AGTAGTGATGCTGAGGAGTGGAAGAAGGCCATGGAGAGTGAGCTGAAGAGCATCGAGGAGAATGACACGTTTGAATTGGTGGAGCTACCGGAGGGGCGTACGGCGATAACGTCCAAGTGGCTCTTCAAAATCAAGTCGGATGCCGACGGCAAGATCGAGCGCTACAAGTCTAGGCTTGTAGCCAAGGGGTACCAGCAGAAGGAGAAGGTGGACTTCAAGGAGCTGTTTGCCCCTGTGGTGAAGCCGACGACGCTGCGAACCCTATTCGCGGGAGCCGCCATCAAAGGATGGGTAGTAAAGCAAATGGACATCGTAACGGCATTCCTTAACGGCATCCTTGAGGAGGAGATTTTTATGGCGCAGCCAGAGGGGTTTGATGATGGTAGTGGCAGAGTGTGGAAGCTGAAGAAGGCCCTCTATGGGCTGAAGCAGGCCCCTAGGCAATGGTACATGAAGCTGCGCGAAGTGTTGGAGGGGATCGGCTTCACTCCCTCAACGGCCGATCACTCCTTGTTCATGCTTGGCGAGGGGGAGCAGAGGAGTTTCATGGTGGTTTATGTGGATGACATCCTCATTTTCTCACCCTCTTCTGACCTTGTGAAGGAGGTGATGCTGAAGCTTCAAGTCAAGTTCAAGTGCAAGGCCCTTGGTGACGTGAGCTTCTACCTTGGGCTCCACATCGAACGAGATGTGGAGAAGCGGTGCATGCGGGTGCATCAACAAAAGTACCTGGAGGCATTGGCTGCCAACTTTGGGCAGAGTGAAGGCCATGTGGCTACACCCTTTCCCTCTGGGTTCAAGTGTGTGAAGGGACCAGAGGAGGAGAGCGTTGGTGAAGAGGAGAGGCGCCGATTTCACTCGTTGGTGGGCAGCCTCATGTATGCGGCGGTAAACACCCGACCGGACGTCGCGTTTGCTACCGGGCAGCTGGCTAGGGTTGTGCAATGCCCTAATGAGGAGCAGGTAGCAGCTGGAATGAGGGTGGCCAAGTATCTTGGCCAAACACCGACCGTTGGGCTGCAATACTCGGCGGCGGCACAAAGGCGCCAAAAGGGCGCGGATGGTGTTGAACCCGGGCGTTTGTTCCTCACCGCCTACTCGGATGCTTCATATGCATCAGAACCAGAGGACATGACAAGTGTGGGAGGCTTCATATGCTGTGTTGGTGGAGGCCCAACTGCTTGGGAGAGCAAGAAGCAGGTTGACCAAGCTTTGAGCTCGGTGGAGTCCGAGTACATGGCACTCTTCCGTGCCGTACGGGAGATTGTGTGGCAGCGGCGTTTGTTGGCTGAATTGGGGGAGGAGCAGCAAGGACCTACCCCACTGTACTGTGACAGCCAGGGTGCCATTGCTCTTGCTAAGAACCCTGTGTTGCATGGACTCACGAAGCACATGAGGGTGAAGTGGCATTGGACGAGGAGCATGGTAACCGCGGGTGAAGTTGAGTTGCGCTACGTGAAGACCACGGGGCAGCCGGCTGACATGATGACCAAGAGGCTGGTGGAGCAGCAGCATTGGAAGTGTTGCAAGCTGGCTGGGATGGCTCTGAACTGAGAGAGCAACATATCCTAAGGCCAACAATCCGAGGGGGAGTTTGTTGGTGCAACCCTACGGTTTGCACTCGGCTTGTTGTCCGTGTGCGTGAATGTGTGTGTGTATGGAATGGTATGAGGGCATGGGATAATATATATTTCATGCTTATAATTGTGTATGAATGTTGAGTCATGATGTCGAGTGTGTGTGTCGAGTCAATAGCGAGTTATCGCTAGACGCGTGTTACGCGGTCGTTTGTGTCTCGCGCGCGGTTTCTATTTTGTCGTGCGCGGTTTCTATTTTGTCCTGTGTCGAACGTTCGGCGTGTCGCAGGTGTGTGCAGCAGACCCATCAAGAACTCAAGGATGAGTTTGTGATGAAGAGCCCGAGCCTTGGTGTCAAGCCTCAAGTGATTTCGAAGCTTGCCAAAAGGGTACACCTCAAGATATTGAAGATAGTTACATTACTTTGTGTAGTGTAACATTTCACTTGGTGTAGGCCCTAGTGAAGGGTAGTTTCGAGACCCTTCGTGGTTGGGGACAGTGTGGCACTGTTCCACATCACTGTACCTCGGCTCTTGGGGTTTGTAGGAGCTGGGAGTCATTCCCAACTCGTAACTCTTCCTATCTTGTGTTCTAAGACTATAGTAATCGTTAGTGGCTGCCTCTTGTGCCTGTGGATCTTGGAGATCCACAGGCACTTACGTCGACGCAGTTCCCCCACCTCGGGCAAACATAGTCGATGGCATGTGGATCTTCAAAGCGGCTGTCAGGATCGCCGCATATTTTCAAGGTGCACTACGTGGCTAGAGGATTCAGTCAGCGTGAGGGAGTTGACTTTTTCCATACCTTCGCCCCGACCAGGAAGATGGCTACTTTTGGATGCTACTTCACGTTGCAGCACATCGAGACTATGAGCTGCACTCCCTCGACTCCTCCACAAGCTTTCTCTAGGGCCGCCAACACGAGGAGGTTTGGCTGCGTCGTTGACTTGGTCTTCGCTACAGCAGACAGGGTTGCTCTGACTAAGGTGAAGTCCAAAATGCAGGAGAGACACACGTGCACTGACCTGGATGAACTGCGCCGCTACCTTGGCTTGCAGATCACCAGTGATAGAGCCGCTCGAACCATTACACTCTCATAGTCGCACATGGTGCAGCAGGTCCTTCAGCGGTTCAGGCTTCAGTTCTCCACCACATAGCCCGCTCCTCTTGCTGTCGACCACAGACTCACCGGCCCTTTTCCCGACGAGCCCTTTGAGTCTAGTGGTCCTTACGTAGAGCTTGTGGGCTGCCTCATGTACCTGATAAGTTTAACTCGTTCGGACCTCGCCTTTCCCCTCAGCATTCTCTCTTTGTGGCAACTGGGAGACACCGTCCTATGCACTGGACGGCTGCTGTGAGGGTGGGGAAGTACGTGGCGACTACATTAGGCGTGGAGCTTGTGCTTTGAGGGACAAAGCCAGTTAAACTGACTGGTCACTTCGACTCTTCATACGCCGACGACGTGGAGACCCAGCGGCCTACCCAGGGGTACTGCTTCAGTTTGGGTGCTGGAGCTGTATCGTGGAGGTCTATTAGGTCATCGTCTGTGGCACAGTCCAGCGCAGAGGCAGAAATCTATGCTGGTGCCATGGCTGCGCAGGAGCTTCGTTGGTTGACTTTCTTGCTCACTAACCTTGGTGAGCGGCCTTGCTCTGCACCAACCTTGTTCGCTGACAACAAGGCCATGATCCTCCTTTGTCGAGAGCCTCGACTGAAGGGCAGAGTGAAGCACATCGACGTGAGGTACTTTCTCATTCGAGAGTTGCAGCGACGCGGCCAGGCACGCTTGGACTTCGTGGCTTCAGCGGCCAACACAACAGACATTTTCACCGAGGCCCTAGCGCCTAGTGACCACCACAGGTTCTGTCTTCAGTTAAGCCTTGTTGACACTGGTGCTAGGTTGTTATAGCATTGTTTCTTGTTCTCCTTGTCCTTGCATCTATATATGTTTCCTTAGTAACGATGTGGCTGAAGTCTAAATGTCAACAGATAAGTTACAATTTTAGTATAAGCCTTTTTCTGCTAACTGCGAATTGACGTAAACTGAGCGAACTTCAAAATCACTTAAGCGCCTTCTTCACAAGGCAACCATGGAGGACTCAAACGGGCCTCAGGTGTACAGTGCCATGAAAACTTGCACAGCCCTGCCAGTGCCACCCACCCCCGTCTCCTTCGACCCCCTGATAACCCCAACACGATATACAGCTTTCTGTGTGCTCAGCTCAGGGCACTTGCCGAGGCTGGCACGAGGTCCGTTCGCCAATGTCCAAGCCAAAAGATGTTGAGGTCGTGACCAAAACGAACCAAACCGAACCGAAGTACAACAGTAAACGACGACCGACCGACATCCATCCAGCAAAACGTGGGAGAATTTCGACAAGTTTGAACCTTCGAATGAAATTTCTACACATTTGTAAAAGGCTGTCAACATCTGCTGTATCTGAAAGTAAGAGGTATTTCTAGACGAAGCCCGAAGCTGAACAAGGCAAATCTGTTCCACCCTTGATGAACAAGGCATGTTTCCCGAAACTTGACCTAACCCCTTCTCCTCGAAACAAGTGAAATTTTCAGAGCATTCCTTCAAGTTTCGTACCGGGGCTAATGTGGTAATGTTCCCAGCTGCCACCCATGGGAATAGTTGGCGTGCGGGTTTTTAGGCCTTTCTGGATCAAATCATGAATTTGAAGTCCTCTCATGGAACATGCTGACTATTTGTCGTCTATACTCTGCTTGTATTCGTTCAAAGGGTCCCTCCTTGATTGTTTGGAGGAACTCTGCGCTTCAGGCATATATATAGACGACAAAATAGTCAACATGTTCCATTCTCGGAGCTGTTCCACGGTGTCCAAAAGATGGCATTTCATCGTTCCATTCTCGGAACTGTTTCATAGTGTCCAAAAAAGACAAGTGCACACCGCAGACGGTAGTGAACCAGGCCTGTCAATGTGTCAGGGGACCAATACACGGTAGTGTACTTGGAGCCTACTGTAACATAAAAAGAGTGAAATCTGAGGGCCTGGGACCAGACCAAATTTTATCAGTGTAAATCACCCTGATACCCTGATAATCAGGGTGGTTTTTGATAGTCACACTGATGGCCTAGGGTAGTTTTTTTAGGTGATAGGTTTACCCTGATGTGCCAGAGTTTTTGTGTAAGGCACACTGATGCCTAAGGGTTCCCGATTCCCGTAACGGGTTTTACCCTGTACCGAGTACCCTACCCCCCCCAACCCCCTAGTACACCCATCCCCCCTTTCCCGTAACCTGGGATTCCCGAGAGGCAAGTGTCGAAGCTGGAATTTCGGCCTTTACCACTCATGTGCTGGCACACATTGGGCCACCATTGGCCAGTGTTACAGTTTCTTTGTAGGCAGCGCCACCGACCCAACTCGGAATGTTTGTCTGGCATGCCAACATGGCCGGGTTAGCTGGAAACATGGCTCACTGCAGCAGAAAGTTGGTGCCCACAAGCCCACTGGGCACCGTGGTCCTTGCACGACTGTGGCTGGCTCTGCAGTTCGTTTGCGTGCACGGTAGGAAACAGAGACGAGAAAGGGTTGGGGGCATGAACACGCCCTTTCACCTCTCCTCCCTTCCTCTCACGTCCTTCCGTTCCACCCTCCTGCTCATAATCACTCGCTTCGCCTTCTGCCCTCTCCACCTCCTCCTCCCCTTCCACCTCTTCCAACACCGCCTCCTCTTTCAACTCCCCCTCCTCCCCTTCCCCCCGTCTGACACGAACGCCCAGCCAATCAGCTTTCAGCACAGCCAGTCGCCACTGCCAGTCGTCCAGCCAATCACGCACCACCTGCGCCCTCTGCTTCCAATCAGAAGCCAGCACTTCCACTGCCGCCGCTTCCACGTCAGACGCCTGTGCGTCCAGCTCAGCATCCAGCTCAGCAGCAAAACCAGCATCTAGACCATCGAATGTAGTGTCTGAATCCGAAGCATCTGAATCCGAACCACGTTCAGCTAAACCCTCCCCAGACAATGGGCAGGCCCTCCTCGTTCTTGTCAAGCAGCAGCCGCTCAAACTTCGGCAGCCACTGCGTGATGTACAGCTGCTGCGCCTTTAGAAATTTCTCCTCAGCCTTCTCAGCGTCGGTGAGTTCACGGGACGCACGCTTCGGAGCTTGGACAGGAGCGGGAGGCGGAGTCGGTTTCGCAAGGGGCGTGCCGAACGGTAGGACGCCTTGCGCGAAGCGCGGCCGCTTCTTCGAGGCTGCAGACGATGACTCGCCCACCTCGGTGACGCTGACAGTGGCGGGAGCACTGTCTGGCGCGACCGGATTAGAGGCAGACGGCGTTGCAACGGGCTCTTTCTCGTTGCTGCAAGCAGACGGGCCTGCAGTGCCTACAGGCGGAGGGTTCGCATGCAGCGCTCGCAGAAAATCGAGGCCTGTCCGCGCGGGCGGATCATACGGTGGCTCGTCAGCAGCCTCACCATCGTCAGTCTCTGCTGGAGCCATGGCTCCTCTTATTGCACGGAAGGAAGGCCTACGTAGCCTAACTGTGCGTGTGTTCTCTGCTCTTGCAATGTGAAACCCCGCATTTGCGTGGAGCATGGGAAAGACGATGCGAATTTCGGACGGAACGGAACGGGGGGACGCGATCTGCAGCTCGGATTGATGTGCAGTCACGAGCTGAGCGGCCGCCACGACGAAGCCATGAAACGGCAGCGGACGCTCATGGCGGAGATCGAGAAGCAGAAGCGGCTCGACGATTTCGCCAACACCGACAAGGAGGGAGCGTGGCTTACACGTCTCATGCGAGGCGTGGAGTTCATCTGCGACCATGACGCGCCGATCGCGATGTTCCCGAAGCTAATAGGCTTCCTCGCAGAGGAGGGCGTGGAGGACATACCGCTCCAGTCCTACGGCGTGTACATCACGCAGTAAGTGTATGGATGTAAGGGTTGAACGCATTGGCTGCGTGTTATGTTGTTACAATTCCTTTTCCTTCAATACCTTCCCCTCACCTTGTTGCAGGTACGGATTCAACGAGATGGCGTCGGCGATGGCAAAGTTCCAGAAATCACAGCAGCTGCAGCATCTGCTCGCTTCACCTTTCGTCGGTCTGACCTGCGACGAGAGCACGGATCGCGCTCGTGGCAAACACTTGATTGTGTTTGCCACGTTCCTCAAGCACGGCATGTCCGTCACGGAATTTCTAGCGCTGCTGACGGTACACAAATGCGATGCGTCCTCGCTTTTCGCAGTGCTCACAAGCCACCTGGAGTCGATTGGCGTGGACATCAAGCGGGTGTCCGGCATCGGTACCGACGGAGCTTCTGTGATGACGGGGGAGAAGAACGGCTTGGTTACCCGCTTGCAAGGCGCGTGCCGCATCTCGTCGGATGTCACTGCGTAGCGCATCGGTTAGCTCTGCTTTAATGACTGTGAATTTATCCTAACGCGATGATGTAACATCACCTCTTACTGCGATACTAATCTTCCTTCTTGGTGTGCTGCAGTGAAGCCTTGGTGGTCAAGGATGCTGCGAAAGCTTTCCCTTACCTTAACGTGATCGATGCTGCTGTGCGTGCTGTGGGGGGAATCATCTGCCGTTCCAACATTTGGTACGAGAGGTTCAAGGAGCTGCAACAAGAGATACACAAGACAAACCTCGAACACCAAGGACTGTTCAACGTCAGATGGTTATCGCGGGGAGACGCTATAGCGCGGCTGTGCAGAGTGTTCGGGGCGGCAATCGTCATGATTGTGGAGTACGGGCATAAGATTGCTGCAACAGTGCAAACGTTCAAATTCCAATCCTGCCTGTATTTTCTCGCAGATATTCTTGCCGTGCTTAACTCCCTCAACCACTTCTTCCAGCACCGCAAGGCAAGTGTGTTTGCGTACATGTTTAAGTTTGGCAACGCCAAAACTTTTTGTGTCTGACCTCTGTGACGTGCTTGGTGTGTGGCAGGTGGACATCACACAAGTGGCCAAGGAAGTCGACCACACGATCACCATCATCACGCACCGGTACATCCAGTAAGGCGAGACATTTGGCGGCGGGGTCAGCAAGCTGTTGTCCAAGTTCATCAAGGAGCACGGAGGCGACAACAGGACGATGGTGGTTGAAGGGATTGACGCGGAGGGGCGGCAGACATCACACAAGTTCGAGCTGAGCGAGACACCTATCAAGAAACACAAGTTTGGGGGCACGCTTGCTGACTGCGAGAAGCTGTGCACGGGTTTCGCGAAGGAAATCGTCGCGAGAATGAAGTACCGCATGTGGGACTTGCAGCAGTTGGGCGGCGCGAAGCTGTATCAAGTTGAATCGTGGCCATGCAGAGACGACCAGCGCGAACTGAAGACACTCGAGTGGCTTGCGGCAAATGATGAGCTGTTTGGCGGATTGCTTCCAGGTGAGGGTAGAATTGACACGTGCAATTGACTCGACTTGTTCATAGCATGCACGTTACAACATCGCATTAACTGACAATCTCCCCCAACTACTTCCACCGCCCCAAACCACCTCCCCGTCAGGATTCGATTTCAAAGCGGCGAAGAAGGAGCTGAGGAGTTTCTGCCACATCATGTCGCGCCATCAGGAGTTTCTGAAGATTTCCACCAGGGCCTTCAAAGCATGTTGAAGAGCCGGGATTGGCGGCGCAGCTATCCGAACCTGATGACACTCTGGCAGGCCCTCGATGTGCTGCCTCTGAGCACAGTGGAGTGTGAGAGGGGCTTCAGTCGCCAGAACATCATCAAGAGCTGGATGTGCACGTCGCTTTGCGACGCACGCCTTGGAGACCTCATGACGCTGCACATGCTCAAATACCCATACGTCTGGCCAGACGTGGTGGACATCTGGCGCAAGCAGAAAACCCGACGCCCGGCGAAATCAGTTGCGCACGCGACCCCTGTGGATCGGAAGGGGAAACAGAAAGCACCAGAGCCAGAAGAGAAAAGTGACCACGATGAACACCGTTGTGGCATGTCTGATGATGAAGACTGAAATCTGTATTGAGTGCAACGTTATAAACAATTGAACAGGATATTTTTTTACCGTACACTGATGCGACAGGGTAGATTTTTAGGAAACCACCTTTACCCTGATGTAAAAGAATTTTCACAAGGGGTCACACTGATAATCAGGATTTTGAGCAGATGGTGCACTGATCACAAGGGTTGGTCAAATCCAAAAATTAGCCCTGCCTGGGACTGGATATCTATGAAAGTAGAAAGTGCCTCGTCTTACCACAATAATTTTGTATTTCATAATGGTAGAAGTTAGAACACATGCACTGGTGACACAGGCACACATAGTACGGTGAATTGTCCTTTGTACAACGGGAAGCCAAACAAGCTTTCAAGGGGGGTTCCATAGATAAAATCGCTGTTTGTTGCAGGTTATAGCATAGCGCAGCTGGGCCGTGTCTGTCGGATGGTATGGTTGGTGTGGTGTCAGAGCTAGCTAGAAGCTACCGGAAGTTGCAGCAGATGTTGATGGTGCTGATGATCAATACGCAGTAGTGACGATAGGAGGGAACGGCTGCATGCACTGCAGCGAGTGTGCCTAAACCACGCAACCGTGTAAACCATCCCATGTGTTCAGCGGGATGGTGAGATCATGGGGGGAATGGGAGGAATTGGAGGAACGGGAGGAACGGGAGGAATGGAGAGGAACGGGAGGAATGGAGAGGAACGGGAGGAATGGAGAGGAACGGGAGGAATGGAGAGGAACGGGAGGAATGGAGAGGAACGGGAGGAATGGGAGGAATGGGGAGGAATGGAGAGGAACGGGAGGAATGGGAGGAATGGAGAGGAACGGGAGGAATGGAGAGGAACGGGAGGAATGGAGAGGAACGGGAGGAATGGAGAGGAACGGGAGGAATGGAGAGGAACGGGAGGAATGGAGAGGAACGGGAGGAATGGGAGGAATGGAGAGGAATGGAAGGAACGGGAGGAACGGAAGGAACGGAGAGGACTGTGAGGAATGGGAGGAATGGGAAGAATGGGGGATGGGAGGAATGGGAGGAATGGGAGGAATCGGAGCCTGGGCTGGGACGACTGGGAGGACGTATGGAATCGTTAAGGAGGACTGAGGTCAGGAGGGGAGGTTGGTAAGAAGGGAGTTAGTACTTGTCAGTTGCTGTGCGGTATCGTGGCAAGGTTCGGCGATTCGAGCTGGTGGAGAGAGCCGAGAGGGAGGGTGGGATGAGCACTGCCGATGAAGGGGAGGCTTGAGAGGGAGAGAGCGGCGTGATGAGAGAGGTGAGTGGGACGTTGCGAGACGAGAGAGAGGAGGAGGAGGAGGTGGTGGGGAGCAGCGGACCACTCCCGCCGCCTCGTCTCCCGATTGCCATCCCAGAAGCCACAGCAGTGCCGGTGATTGACTTGCTGCTAGCAACACCACCTTTACTGCTACCACCAGCAGCACCTGCGGCAGAGGCAGCAGCAGCACCACCAGTAGAAGTGTAACCCAGAATGTAACCACCAGCAACCCTCTCTGACTCGCTCTCTGTCTCTGTGTCCGGCTCGGTCTCACTGGAAACAGCGCCGTCCGGGGGGGTGATGCAGAAGGGCAGGCGGAAGGACGGCACGACAATGGCTGTGGAGCGAGCGATGGCGCGGCGCCGCTTGCTCAGCTTCCAGTTGGGCAGCTCTGGTAGGGGCTGCGGTAGAGGCGAGGTGTCGCGGTCGTGCTTGAGAATCCACGGGTGCTCTGCCGGGATGGGGCGAGGGGGAGGCAGGAGTGATGGGTGGGGAACGGGGACGGGGCCGTGGGGAATAGGTGTTAATGGAATCGAGTGGGGCTTTGAAGTCTTCAGATTTAACATGTGTTGCAGAGACAGAGAGATGCTGAGATCGGCAGGCTTAACACGAGGACCAGAAACTAGAGAAGAAGATTGTGGGGAGAGCAGGATGAGGAGAGGAGGACGCTGGTGGGAAGAAAGAGAAGGAAAAAAGAAGTACCTAGCAGCTGGTCGAGGGTGATTCTCTCCGCAGGGTCTTGGCACAGCATGCGGCGCACCAGATGCACGGCGTCCTTGCTCACATGCAGCCACGCGCCCGTGTGCGTATCCACATGCCCCTTCAGGATCGCGCGGTACACGCCAATGTCGGTGCTATGCCAGAACGGCAGGCGCTGCGAGAGCAGTGTGTAAAGGATGACGCCGAGGCTCCACACGTCTACTTCGAAGCCGTACCGCCCGTTGAGGACCTCGGGTGCGATGTAGAACGGGCTGCCTGCGTACCCGCGGATGCGCTGGCCTGCGGCGGTGTGCGGAGGCGCGGTGTGCGGTGGTGCGGGAGGGGTACGGGGGACAGGACAGGAGCAGTGAGTGGGTGTGGTTCAGTGGGGAGAGGGGGAAAGAGGGAAAAATGGAATGGAGGGTGGGGGCGGAGGAGGAATGGTGGGACGAGCGGAGGGTGGGACGGAACAGCGATACAAGAATAACCTGCATGCACCTGCATTTTGCAGTTTCGCAACATCCCAGGAGCACAACCCCTCCCCTCCCCCCTTTTCCCCTCCTTCCCCCCCCCTTTTCCCCTCCTTCCCCCCCCCCCCTTTTCCCCCTCCTTCCCTTCCCCTTTTCCCCTCCTCCCACGCGCACCTGGCTCAATGAAGGTGGAGATGCCAAAATCCGCAACACGCAGATCAGCCCCAGCAGCCCCTTTGGTAGCGAGCAGCACGTTCTCGGGCTTGAGGTCGCGGTGGCAGATGCCGCGGCGGTGGCAGAAGCGCACGGCGTCCGCGATGCGCCGGCAGATGGCCGCCGCGTGGCGCTCTGAGATGTGCGGCGCCGTGTTGACGTGCGATAGCAGGTCGCCGCCCTCGCACAGCTCCATTATCAGATGCACGTCCTGAGGGGGCGAGGAGGGAGGGGACGAGTGGGGCAAGAGGACGGAGAGGAAGGAGAGTGGTGGAAGGAGAGGTGGGGAGAGGTGTCGATGCGCGAGGGCAGGTCGCCTCCCTTGCACAGGTTTACTATCAGATGCACGTCCTGGTGGGGAAAGTGAGGGGTGAGAGGTGGTCAGAAGAGGTGCAGAGAACAGGGAGATAGAGGAAAGAGCAATGGGGGGAAAAGGGAAGTGGCATAGGGGTGGAACGAGAGGTGCAAACACGACGTGAATCTAACATCTTTAACCTGCCACACGAATGAATTCGCAAGTGAATTGCCACACAAAAAGATGATGGATTTCGTCCGGCAATGCATACGGGCCACAATCATGCACCCATGGACCCACACACCCATCCACCAACACACCCATGCACCCACAAAGACACCCTCCCTTACCCCTCTCTCTCCCTCCCTTTACTGCACGCACCTGAGCATCCTCCACAGTGTCATGCAGCGCCACAATGCTAGCATGCGACCCCACCGCCTCCATCACAGCCACCTTCACCTGCCCCTCTCAAGCCTCTCAAGCCTCTCACCCCTTCACGCACCTGGGCGTCTTCCACAGTGTCATGCAGTGCCACAATGTTAGCATGCGACCCCACCGCCTCCATCACAGCCACCTCCACCTGCCCCTCTCAAGCCTCTCAAGCCTCTCACCCCTTCACGCACCTGGGCGTCTTCCACAGTGTCATGCAGTGCCACAATGTTAGCATGCGACCCCACCGCTTCCATCACAGCCACCTCCACCCGCAGCGCCTCCACCTTCTTCGCATCCCCCAGCGTCGTCTTCGCAATCGACTTGCACGCGAATCGCGCCCGGCTCTTGCGCTCCACGCACGCGCGCACCACCACGCCGCTGCGCCCCTCCCCGACCTTCTCCCCCACTTCGTACTTCTTCCGTATATCCCCCACGCCGCGGCCTAGCATGCCCTGGTCCTCGTCCTTTACGAGAACGCCACTGAAGCTCACCATGCGTGAGTGGAAAGACGCTGCGCCTGCTGCTACCCCCCATAGCCTGCTCACCCCTGCTGGCGCGCCCCCCTGCGACTGGTTCCCGCTGCTGCTGCTCCCACTCCCGCTTCCCCCGGCCTCTTTTCCATCCGAGCCCCCCCCTCCGCTTGCCCCCGCTCCCCCTCTCTCTCCGCCCTTCTCGCCTCCTCTGTCCCCCCCTCTTTCTCCTGCTCGCTCCCCACCCCGCGCGCCTCTCTCCCCTGCCCTCTCACCCCCATCTGCGTGCCCCCCCCCTCCTGCTCCAGCCAGCATCCCCATCGCACTGATGATGCTGCCTGTGGCTGTGTGTCCCCTCCGAATCCCCTCATTCCCCTCACCACCTTTCCCGCCTCCCCCGCCACTCCCCCCTGCGCCTGACCCTCCCCCCCCACCCCACTTATCAAACCGCCCGCTGAAAAAGCTCATGGCTGTTCGCACGGAGGGGCTTTTAGGGGCGCGGGGAGAACGCAAGGGAGACCTGCTTCTCGATTCGTCCTCCCTGCTCTTCTCCTTCTCCCTCCCGCTCTCTCTGCCCTCCCCCTCATCCCTCTCCCTCTCTCCCTCCTCTTCCCTGTCCCTCTCCCTCTCCCTCTCCCGCTCCCGCTCCCGCTCCCGCTCTCTCTCTCTCTCCCTGCCCCCATCCACCCGCACATTCTTCGACGAAAACCCACCGCTTCTGCTCCCACCCCCACCGTCCCCCACCGCACCTGCCCCACCAGAACCACCCGCACCCATCCCCACCCCTGCACCTCCCCCAGAAACCCCTCCCCCAGCTGAGCCCGCACCAGCAGAAGCGCCGCCAGTGGGGGACGCCCCTCCGCCTGCCACACTCTTAGAAGCCCTCACCCACGCCGCCCTGGTCCACCCACGGGACTTGTCAGGTGTGGGGAGGACGAGCGCGGGCACAGAGGCAGAAGAGGTAGTGGTAGAAGCAGAAGTGGACGACGGAACAGCAGAGGAAGAGTCCCGGGGGCTCCAGCAGGCAGCACCTGCGTCTCTCCCTGTTCCGCCCAGCCCTCCGCTGCCTCCCCCTGAGAGACCCCCTCCCGTTCCCCCTCCCCCACCTCCCCCGCCTCCCCCTCCGCCTCCGCCCACGTGTCCGCCTCCCCCCATGGGAGCAGCATCCGCAGTGGGGGAGGAGGACGTGGAGGAAGTGGGGGTGATCGCGGAGGGGGGGCGTGGTGTGGTGGTTTGAGAGGGTCCAGAGGAGTGGGGAGTGGTGGAGGAACGCGGAGTGGTTGTGGAGGAGCGTGGGGTGGAGGAAGACTGCTTGCGAGACGAATCCCACCACCCACCGCTGTGACTGCTGCTGGCCCCACCCCCACCAGTGCCCCCACCACCACCACTAGCAGCAGCAGCAGCAGCAGCAGCCGTGGCAGTGGCAGGCAAACCAGAGCCAAAGGCTTTCTCCTCTGCCTGGTGTGACGATCGCCGCGGGGACTTGTGCTGCCCTTTCAACACATCAAGCAGCCCCCGCCTCCCTCCTCCTCCCCCGCCTTCCCCCCCTCCACCCGCCCCCTTCCCTCGCCCCCCTCGCCCTTGCCTCCTCCCAACCTCCTCCTCCCCTCTCCCATCCTCCTCCCCACTCCCACGCCCTCCATCCCCCCCTCTCCTCCCCCTCCCATCCCTCCCATCCTCCGCTTCCTCCTCACTCTCTCCCCCCTTCCCACCTCTACCCGCCCCACCGCCGCCCTTCTCCCCCTTCCCAGCCTCCTCCTCAAACAGAGACAGTCTAAGCCGCCGCAAGTCCAGGCTCTTACCGCCCTTGCGAGGCTCATCCGTGACTCGTTCCGTGCCTGCAGCGCGCATGCTGCTAGCCCGAGGCTTCGCCTCCTGACTCCCAAACCACCGCCCCGGCGACCGAAGCCCCGACCCTGCTCCTGCCCCGCCTGCTGGCGCGCTGCCGCTGCCACCACCGCTACTTGCAGCAGCGGTGGTGGCGGCAGGAGAGGTATCAGCGCGGTTGTCCTCTCGCCCCTTGCTTGCTCCTGTCGGCAGCAGCTGCAGCACCCCGTTCAGTGCCCCTCTGCTGCTCGCCCTCCCCCCGTCCCCCTCCCTCCCCCCTCTGCTCGTCTGTGAGACTGACCTACCTGCCTGGGACACCATCGGGGGGAGGAGCGCGGAGGAATTCACAGACCCAAGCACCTCGCCGCTCCTCGCCTCCCCGCTTCGACTCTCCTCCTTTCCCCGCTTCCCCTCCTTCCTCTGCCGCTCCCCGCCCCTCTGCCTCTCCCCATCTGACTGATAATTCTGCTGCCTCTGCTCCCGTCCTGTCGCCATCCGAGGCTCCTCATCCCTATGCCTCCCTTGATCCCTTGACCTTCCATGCGCCTTTTGTTCATCATCACCCCAACCCTCCTCCTCCGCTTCTCCGTCTGATTGAAATGCTTGTGCGGTATCCTCCCACCTTTCCTCCCGCCGCGTGTCTCCCCCTCTCTGCCTCTGCTGCTCCCGTCCGCCTCTCTCCTCCCCCCTCAACCTCCCTCTCGGCTCATACCCCTCTGCACCCCTCCCCACCCTCTCCTCCTCGTCCTCTTCCTGCCCCTCCTCCGCACCCTTCCCCTCACACCCCTGCTCATCCTCTGTATCAACATCGGAACGTGTCTCCCTATCCATCTGTGCCTTTCTCCTCGCTTCCTCCTCAGTACTCCACACCCCACCCTCCCTCCGCCCATCCCGATCCCTCTCAACCCCTTCCTCCCGATCACTCCAACAATCCACACCCTTCCACGGCTCCTCCCTGTAGCTCCCACTGCTCTCCCCGCCACTCAACCGCCCACTAAGATCTTCACTGAACCGGTTGCTCATCACATCAGCCAGCCTATTACTGCAAGCGTCGCTGCCACACCCGTCGCTCTCCCCCTCGCTCTCCCTGCAGTCGCTGCCATTGTCACTGCGCGCAACCTCTGCTGCCATTCTCGCAGGCAGCCGCACACTCAAGGCCGAGGGACGAATACCACTTATGCCACTCATGCCTGTCCCTGCACCCAGCCCCAACCCCCCTGTTGCTCCCGCTGCTGCAGGAAACGTGTGGGGTATTCTGGAGGTAGAGCGTGATGGGGAGTTGAGAGGCATTTCATTTCCTCCGCCCACGGGTGGTATTGGTCCTGAGAATGCCTGCATCTGCGCACCACCGCCAGACGCTGTAAAGGGTCCACTGGAGGCCCGATGCTTGGACCCTGATGTCAACGCTGCGGCCGACGCTGATGCTGCTGTTGCTGCTGCTGTTGATGCTGCTGCTGGTGCGGATGGTGGGGTGTTCCTCCCAGGGCGTTTCAAGGACCGGGGGGGTGGCTCATACGGCTTGGATGGTGCAGCAGCAGCGGCGGCGGCAGCAGCACGGCGCGTTTTAGGAGAGCTGTGACGCGCGGCCCTGGCCCTCACTGCCACGCGATCGCCATGCAGCCTCGCATTTGACAGTCCATTTCCGTACCGTGCTCTCTCCTCCTCTTCCTCTTCCCCATCTACCTCTTCCTCTTCCTCCTCTTCCTCTTCCTCTTCCTCCTCTTCCTCATCCTCTTCCTCGTCCTCCTCCTCTTCCTCCTCTTCCTCCTCCTCATCCTCCTCCTCCTCCTCTTCCTCCTCCGCATTCTCTCTGCTGTCACCTCTCCCCCAGCCCTCCTCTGCATCTCGTGAGTCTTGCTCAAATGTCCATTCCAATGTAGCGTCTAAGTCACCACCACCAGCCCCGCCTTGCACATCTCTTCTTGTCCCACCCACTCTCCCTCTTCCCTTCTCCCCATCTCTCGCTCCTTCAGCTTCCCGCTCGCCTCTCGGCCCTCCTGTGGCCCGTGGAGTAACATCCACCCACGCACCACCGCTCTTCCTCCTGCTCAACGCACCCACTGCGCCTGCGCCCGCTGCCCCGCCCGCGGCTTGCATTTGCCTGGCTTCCACCGCCGTCGCCCCTTCATGTGACTTCGCCAGGTGAGCTTCAAACAAAGGCGCTCTTGAGCGAGGGCTTGCAAGGACAACCGATGGGCCGGACGGGGTACTACGCTCCCTCTCTCCCCTCTCTGCCCTCTCTCCCCTCTCTCCCCTCTCTCCTCTCTCTCCCCTTTCTCCTCTCTCCCCTCTCTCCCCTCTCTCGCCCCTCACTCCTCTCTCGTCCCTCTCTCCTCTCTCACCCCTCACTCCTCTCTCGTCCCTCTCTCCTCTCTCGCCCCTCTCTCCTCTCTCTCCTCTCTCCCCCCTTTCTTCTCTCTCTCTCCCATCAGCCCCCTCTCCCCACTCTCTCCTCTCTCGCTCCCCTTTCTCTCCTCTCTCTGCTCGCTCTCCCCTCTCTCCTCTTCCCCCCTTCTCTCCTCTCGAAAATCTCTCTCCTCTTACTCCTCTTTCTCCTCTCTCACTCCCTTCCCCCATGCCTCTCCTCTCTCTCTCTCCTTTCTCTCCCCTGTCTCCCCTCTCACCCCAATCTCCCCTCTCGCCCCTCTCTCCTCTCTCCCCTCTCTCTTCCCTCTCTTCCCTCTCTTCCCTCTCTCCTCCTCTCTCTCTCCTTTCTCCTCTATCCCCTCGCTCTCCACCAAAAACGCTGCTGGAAGCGCTGCTGGTGCGATTAATTCTGAACATATTACCCTGCGCTCCCGCCGCGCCACGGACGTTTCTGAACCGAGGGCTCGCTCCCACACCGAGAGGCAGCCCATTCACACCGCTTCCAGTACGCGAAATACTCCCGCCCCCGCTCATACTCCCGCTCTCGCTCACATATTCGAATCCTTCCGCGTTCGCGCGCTTTCCGCCCCCCCGGTCCTTACCCCCCAGCCCTGCACCCCCCGCCATACCCCGCGCGAAGTCCACAGGCGATTCCGCTTCCGCCTCGTCTCTCTCCCACCCTCCGCCCTTTCCCCCTCTGTCATCCCCCCTCCGTCCCCCTTGCGCGGTTTCCCTGCGCCCTTGACTCCTCGCACCCCCTTTACCGCGCCCGCCTGCGGGCGACGAGGCGGAAACCGAAGGCGAGCGCGCGGCCGGATGGGTGCTCCGCCCCGCAGCCTTTCCGCCCGCAGTGAGAGAGAAATCCGCGCGACGAGACGCGGAGGCGTCGGAGCTTGCGGGGCTGGGCGCTACTCGCGGGGGAAGCTCCACTAGATCGACGCACGAGGGACCCGCGGTGAGGAGCGGGCGCGGGGATGGGCGCGCGGAAGCAAGGACAGAGGCGGAGGAGCGCGCAGAGGGCGGGGAGACAGGCTCCCCCGCGTGCGCTCTGCGCCTGTTCGATTGGGTCTCGAGACGCGGGGGCACAATGCGCAGCCGGCGGAAGGATTGCGAGCCGCGCGCGCCGACCTCTCGTTTCCTCTCGTCCTTGCCCTCCGCCTCGTCCTCCGCCTCCTCCCTCCTCCTCTCCTCACCCTCTTCATCTTGCGCGAAAGACCCCTCTTCCTCACCTCTACAACTTAACCTTCCTGCTCCCTCGCCCTCGTCGCTGCTACTGCTGCAGCAGCTGCTGTCGAAACTCCGCGCTACTCCCCCCAGCGCCGTCGGGGTCCACGGCTTCTTCCGCGTGCTCCACCGCGCGGACGACGGCGACCCCGCACTGCTGCCCATGCGCGGACTTCCCGCGCGCGCAGCCGCAGCGGCGGACCCCGCGGGCGAGCGCGAGGGGGAAGGGCCCGGCGAGCGGGCGGACGAGGCGGCGCCGGAATCAGCGGGCACGGACTCGTCCTCTTCGATAACTGACGCGTGACTGGGATAGCGCGCAGACGCTCGCGCGCGCTGTGTTTGCGCCCAGGACGCGCGAGACGCGTGGATGTTCGGCTGAGACACGTTCCGCCTGTGCTGCTGGCTCTGCGCCCAGCCTTGCGCCGCATCCCCGTCCTGTTCTTCCTCCTCCGATTCATCCTCGCTCGAACCCCGCGCACCTCTCTTGCGCCAATCGCCCTCCCCGCCCTCGTCCTCATCCCCTCTTTCTTCCTGCTCCTCTTCCTCTTCTTCCTCGTCCTCCTCTGAATCCTCAGCACTCTCCCCCTCTTCCGCCTCTTCCTCTTCTCCTTCGTCTTCCTCCTCCGCTTCCTCCTCTTCCGCCTCCTCATCCTCTTCAGCCCATTCTTGTTCCTCGTCGGTACCATCACCACGATCCTTCGACTGCCACCGTCGCTCGTCAGACTTCAAGTCACCATCGAACCCTCCTCGCGCATCCGCCCTCGCCGAGTCCCTCCGACCGGGAACCACCCCCCCGTTATCCCGCGCTTGCTCCTTGCTACGTTCCGCCGATGCTTCGCGCCACAGCCGGGTATTCCCCGCGGACTGGCGCAAGTTGCTGTTTCCGCGCGCTTGACGCGTCCCACCCTGCTGCGGCTTTTGCGCGCGCGAGCCCGTGGTGCTGCTACGCGCGGGGAGAGCCAAGTTCGTGGGACTGCTTGACCTCGGGCTGTTGATCGGAGTGTTACTGACGCTGCGACTCGACGGTATCGCTTGATTTGAGGGTTTCTTTCCCTGAATCGGGATTTTAGGGAGTGACGACGAGTCCTTGGGTCCCCGATTGGACAGGGAACGTTTAGGGGGACGGAAGCTTGCGGAACCCGCGACACTAGCGGCGCCCGGCGCGGGAGCAGAAGCCTCGGTGGCATATGCATCTGAAAGGCCCATGAGGAAGGAGCACGGGCAGGTCTGCCTTGCGGTGCTATCGTCGTGGTGCTAGTGTGCGTTCCGCTCATGGCTGTGCATTCCAAGATTGTCCTAGGTTTCCTCCATTAATCGACGAATCTAGTCGCCTGCCTGGATCAAGCGAACATTGGCATGCGAATCGCGAAATCTATCGAGTAGAGTGTGGCTGCCAGTGACAGCGGGGAGATCGAGGAAATTCGGAGCAGCATGGAGTGGTGATGAAGGTTAGGGTTTGCTGGGTCGACAACCTTGGAGCAGATAGATCAGGATTCAGGAGACTGGTGTGCCATAACCTGGCAATCCCAAGCTGGGCGGGGAACGATTCATGTCATGACTCTGGGGAAAGGTGAGAGTTTCGAGGGATGGGTGAAGTGGGGGAAGGGGATGATGATGGGCCTAGAGAATATTATAGTCCATCCCCTACTCATTGTTGTTTTCCTAACTCTAGCCTGATTTTCTTACTAAAGCACCTAATTATTGATGTACTTGTTCACTAATCGAGCTAATACCGAATTGTCATTTAAAGTGCTTCTATTGTAGCGTCATGCGAATAGTCGCGAGGCTTTTCACGCTCCTAATAAATAAATTTATGAACTGACAAATAATACAACAATATTATTCTACGGTGTATAGATACTGCAAGATTATCCATCAAACTTTTAAATTGCTTGAGTCACTTATTCCATCTCAAACATTCATAACACAATAATGTTCCAAAGCCCAGGCGTGAGAGAGGTAATAGATAAGATCTCATTTTACGGGAGCGCTGAGTTTAGGTGCTTAGCCGAAAGCCATAAAAATCTCCATCTAGGAAGCCCCTTTGATTATTTTGGTTATTTCGTCAAAACAGCGGATACTCCAGCCCGGGGCACAGATCAAGGAGTGAACCTACGTATCTGTCAGAATCCCATTCACTAGATCACTGAGATAAAAGGGCTTGCACCAAATGCGGGTCAGTGTGCCCAAACCACCCCCCCCCCCCCCCCACCCCCCTCCCCATGCTAAAATACATATAATACCTCTATAATCAATCGTGGATCCACACTGCAGGTATACTGACAAACCCCCCACACTTGGAGGCCCAGGACACGGCACAGGGTCTTCGGCAGCATGCGCGTACACGGGGATTCGAACCCGATACATTTACCATGCCATGTCATAACTCCTTACCGTGCGCCTCAACACCGCGTACAGAAGCAGCCGTTGTTCGGCCGTTACTGCTAATGGGGCTTCGCCAATCTTCGTGCGCTACATTTGCCAAACCATGCACCACTGGCCTGGCCGAGTCGACCTATGACTCGGGACTAGCCCGAACCTCGTTGCTAGCATCGCACTAGCTAGCTCGCACGCACCGCGTAACCGTTTGCATGTTTTCATATAAATATTCTCGCATGCCTTCGCTCATACTTTGTATTTGTTTGACACCTTAGTGCAATACTC